GTAGTCATGCTGTCCTCCAAGTCTTCACCCCGGCACCTCCCAATCTGTTTTCTGTCTGTAATTGTGTCACTTTGAGAGTTTTTTTAAGTGGAATCATAAAATATGTATCCTATAAATATGGCTTATTAAAATTCCACTCGAAGAATGCCTTTGAGATCTCTCCAAGTTGCTGGGTGTATTGTACATCACCCCTTTTATTGCTGAGAAGTTGTTCATTAGATGGCCATACCACCATTTGTTTAAATATTCACTTGGGTTGTTTGCAGTTTTTTCCTGTTACCCTTGGCAGCCTGAGATGTTCCCCTAATCTTTAGGGACCTCAGTTGAGAAAAATAAGAATAATTCATGAAGCTGAGGTTTCTCTGTTTACAGAGATGATGATTGGTCCGTGTTATTGTTGTTTCTGATATACAAGTCTAACTAAACGTTTCTGCTAGACAGAGGGTTTAATGAATATTAAAGCATTAGTATTTATCAATACTCAAAAAAATTTCCACTGGTCATGGTGGTGCATAATCATTAATCCCGGCACTCTTGGGAGACAGAGGCAGGCTTGGCTTCCCTTCATCATTCTCTCTTTTTTTTTGGTCTTTTTGAGACAGGGTTTCCCTGTAGCCCCAGCTGTCCTGGAACTCATTATGTAGACCAGGCTGGCCTTGAACTCACAGAGATCTGCCTGCCTCTGCCTCCCAAGTGCTGGGATTAAAGGCATACGCCACCACGCCCGGCTTCCATCATCATTCTTAATGCATAAAAACATTACCTCTGCTCTTAAATTTAAACTTTTAGTCCAGTTATATTCTTGTCCTTCCTGGCCTTTTTCTGGAAAATATGCTTATGAATATAATTCATAGTGCCCATCTGTTCCATCTTTGATGGTAGAAACTGATAGGTAAAAAGTTGGCAGAGAACGAGCAAATGGATGATGAGGCACAGATAAAACTCCATCAAAATAGGGTTTATTAGCAAAGGAACACATGGGGCAGATTCCCTTCCAGGCAGGGAAAATGTCTGCCCTAGTCTTGAGCTGGGAGGCTTCTGCTTCCTGCAGAAGGTGGGAAGATGTATTTTTTTTTTTTTTTAAAGTTGGGGGGGAGGTGGGAGAGCGGGACTGTTAAAACCTGTCCTCTTTAGAGATCAATGGGGAAGCCTGCTGTGTTGGCTAAACAGTGGAGAAAAGTCTGCTTCTCTTGACTTCAAAGACCAAGGTGCTTATCAGCTAGGTTCCCTTTTCTCAGGAGCATGAGAAGTCCTTGGGATCCTTTTGGTGAGGGGGCAGGGCTATCTGAACCTTAACAGAAACCATATGCCCAGAGACATTGCTCAGTTTACTTAAGCCTCTCTCATTTTAAAAAACTTAATTGCATATATATATATTATGTGCACCTGAATACAGATGACCTTGGAGGCCAGAAGGGGGTATTGGATCCCTTGGAGCTAGACTTAAGGTGGTTGTGAGCTCCCCAATGTGGGTGCTGGAAACCAAACTTGGGTCCTCTGCAAGAGCAATAGGTGATCTTAACCACTGAGCCATCTCTCCAGATTCTCCTTTTTTTTTTTTGGATTTTTTTAAATTGAATTTTTGTGTATTTCATACAGAACAGCTCAATCAATCTTAATTATCTTTATACCTCTTCCTCACTGTCATCCTCCCATAGCCCCCCAGTGGATTCATGCATTCTGTCATTTGTGTTAAGGCCTATTGTGTCAACTTAGTGTCTCCAGATGTCCCTCAATGCAAGTTTATCTACTGAGGTCTAGACAGCCTATCTAGAGTCCTTCACTTTAGGAAGATCAGCTCTTCCTTACTCAGCAGTAGTTAGTTACCAATATTTCTTCAGCTAAGATTGGGGTCACCTGTCTATTTCGCTGTTCCCATGCTGGGTTTTTGTCTGCTTGAGCTTGCATGGGTCCTATGCATGATGACACTATTGCTGCAGGCTCATATGAGCAGGTTCCCAGGAGCTTGTAGGACTCTATTTCTATATGGTCATGCACTTCCTCCCTGGCTCTTAACAGCCTTTCCACTCCTTCTCCTGCAGTGGTCTCTGAGCCCTGGGTAGGTGAAGTTTCATATCAGAGTCCTGTCCAAGGACCAGCATTCTGCAGACTCTTAATCTCCATACTTTGGCCATTTGTGACCTTTTGTGTTCCTGGCCCTCTGTTGCATAAGGGAACTTAAATAATGAAAACTGAGATATATATAAGTGCCCTCTTTACCCCTGTTCTGTGTTCCTTGATCCTTAAGTGTAGAGGTTGCATTGTAGATGTGCCACTTAGACTTGGGCAATTCACACAGTATCTGTGTGTGACCAGCTGTTACTCTGTAACAGTCTCTGTCTGGTATAAAAGAAGCTTCTTTGATGAGTGGTGACTGGGATATTTGTCTGTAAATATCAGGATACATAGTTTGCACATAGGAAGAAATTACATCAGTCTAATGGAATGTGACAGTCTTGGGGTTTTCTCTAAGATCTTTGACATTGCTAGCCATGTGTATTTGGCTATGTTTACAGTACCACACATGAATTTCCTCCTATTGAGTCAACTTTTAGTCCAATTAGGTAGCTGTTGATTGCCCCTAAAATAAAAGTGCCACTACTGCACCAATGTTGTGTGCTGTGCTGGTCATTGATGTGGTTATTTTTTCTTGAAGCTGGTGTTGGACCATTGATTGATGTTCTCCCTTAGCACCTTGTGTAGTGCTCTCTAAAGCTGTGAGAGCTAGCCTTCAGGGGAAGTGGCTTTCAGGTCAGTTCTGGCTCCATTGCTCCAAATCCTGTGTTCAGAGTGTATTCTGTCTTCAGCATGAAATGTATGGAAATAGAAACAGTTTGTACTAAGTGAAGTAACACAGACTCAAAAAAAAAAACAAACAAAAAAACAAATGACATATGTTCTCCCTCATGTATGGATCTAGCACCAAATCCTTATATGTGAGAGTGTTTCCTGGTGTGATTACAAGAACCAGGGTAATGAAAAGGAACCAGGGAGGTAAAGAGAAAGAAGGAACCTTAGAAGGAACCAGGGAGGTAAAGAGAAAGAAGGAACCTTAGAAGAGTAGGAGACAGGTGTTACTAAGGGGAAATGGATAAAATGGGGGCATTTAAGGGGGAGGTGGGAGGGAGAGTTATACAAGGAACTTCGGGGGTAAAAGAGAAAAAGGAGCTCAAGCCATGGTGGGAGGGTTAGATAAAGGGAGCGAGAATGGAGAGCTAAATAACACTTAGCTAGTGTAAAAAACCAGAGGGAATCATATTAGTCCAAAAACCTAATGGCAAATTACACATACAATATCTCTACATGAGTCCACATGTAGAACCCCTGAATCACATAGGCTAATGCCACAGCCCTTGATTGCCTCCAGAACTGTTTTTTTTTTTTTTTTTAAAGGTAGTGCTTTGATACATTGTTTAGGCTGGGCTCTCAGACTTTCTGTCCTTCCACTTTAGCTTCTTGAGTAGTTGGGATCACATATGTGTACCAGCAGACCCTACTGCTTTTTTTTATTTTTGTTTTTATTTTTTGGCCTTTTGGAGACAGGGTCTCCCTGTAGCCCCGCCTCACCTGGAGCTCACCATGTAGACCAGGCTGGCCTTGAACTCACAGAGATCTGCCTGCCTCTGCCTCCCAAATGCTGAGATTAAAGGCCTGTGCTACCACGCCTGGCTTTTTTTTTTTTTTTTAAAAGAAAAGGTCACATATAGCCCAGACTAGCCTCAAACTTGTTACGTAGATGAGTATGGCCTTAAACTCCAATCATCCTGTGTCCTTTTGACTTAACATCTCCAAGTGCTTAGATTATTAAGTATTTAACACTATACCTGCCAGTTATTTACCTCTTAGAAACAAGTCTTTGGCTGTTTGTAATTTTTTTTTTTTTTTTTTTTTTTGGTATTTTTGAAACAGGGTCTTCTTGTAGCCCCAGATGGGCAGATGGGGTGGAACTCACTATGTTGACCAGGCTGGTCTTGAACTCAAAGAGATCCATCTGCCTTTGCCTCCTGAGTCCTGGGACTAAAGGTGTGTGCCACCACGCCAGGCTTTCACTGTTTGTAATCTTATCCTTACTAAAATTCCAAATGAGGTATAAGAGACTCTTTGGGAAGCAGGAGGTAGTCAGAGGATTGATTGTCTAAAAAGATGTTTTGTAGTTTGATTCTGGTGGTGATTATATAACCATATACATTGAACTGAGCACTAAAAGGTAAAAGGGAGGCTTTACCCATACTTTCATGCCTTATAAACAACAGCTTCTAAGGATTTGTGTGTGCGTGTGCACTCACATGCGAACACATGCTTGGAGGCCTGAAGTTGACATCCAGAGATCTTCCTCAATCGCTTCTCCACTTTTTTTTTTTTTTTTTTTTTTTTTGAGGTGGGTCTTTTTATGAGCCAGAGATCCCTTAGAATCTGCCTGTCTTGGCCTGGCAGCACTAGGTTTATGGATGTATTCCACCACAGCCAGCTTTGATGTGGGTGCTGGGAATCTGACCTCAGGTTATCATGCTAGTGTAGTGACCAGCCTGGGCTATATGAGGCCCTGCCCCCCCCCCACATTTTTTTTCGATTAGCTTTAATCATTCATAATTGACTATTATAATAAAAATCACATGATCTTTCTTATTTTGTTACATTTTATTTCATTCAACTTAAAAATCATGTTTTTCTGCATGGCCTTGTACTACGTTTAAAATATTGTCTTGCATGTAATTGAGGTTTAATTAAACTAGTATGTTGCTGAGTGTGTTGGCTCACGCCTTTAATCCCAGCACTGTGGAGGTAGAGGCAGGCAGATCTCTGTGAGTTCAAGGCCAGCCTGGTCTACAATCTAGTTCAGGCCAGTTGGGGCTACAGGGAGAACCTGTCTCAAAAGACAAAAAACAAGAAAACTAGTATGTTAAGTTTATGTTCAAGTGAAGATCTATTTGTTTTTATATTTGTGCATTTTACATGTCAACTTTCAAAAGTATTTCTAATTTTTTTTTTTTTTTTTTTAGTGAAAATGTTCTCTTTGGGATGGGAAATCCTCTTCTTGACATCTCTGCTATAGTGGACAAAGATTTCCTTGATAAGTAAGTATTGAACTCTTCCTGTATACATATGAAACATCTGAAGGACTGGTTAAACTGCAGAACTGAGCTGATGAGGTGGCTCAGCAGGTAAAGGTGCTTGTCCTAGCCACAAATTTCGCTGGGAAATAATATTTTGTCCATTTACATTACTATTTTCGCTTAAAATTTATTATTTAGTCAAGCATGATGATACATGCCTGTAATCTCAGCACAAGGGAGACAGAATCAGGAGGAATTGGTGCAAGTGTCAGGTGAGTCTGGTTTACATAAATGAGTTCCAGAGTAGCAGGGCCACTGTGCTGGATAGCTTCAGTTGTCAACTTGACATATGTGGGAAAAGGGACCCTCAACTGAGGAATTTCCTCCATCAGATTGGCCTGTGGCCATGTCTTTGAGGCATTTTCTTGATTGTTGAGTGATACATACAACCCACTTTGTATATGTATATTAGTGTGCCATATTTTGTTTATTCATTGGTTGATAGACATTTGGGTTGTTTCCATCTTAGTATATCTAGTATTATGAACAATAATGTTTATGAACACGCATATGTAAGCTTTTGAATGGAAGTTTGTTCTCATTTCCTCTTCGAGGAGTAGACTTGCTGGGCCATCTGGAAATTCTGTGTTTTACTTTCTGTGAAACCACTGAAATTGTTTTCCTGTACTTTTTCTTTTTTACACTTAAAAAAAATATTTATTATTTTACGTGTATGAATGTATTATGTGCATGTACATGAGTGCACCTGTGTCGTGCAATGCCACGGAGGTCAGAAGAGGGCTTCGGATTCCCCTGGAACTAAAGTTAAGGTCGGTTCATAGCCGCCATGTGGGTGCTGGGAATCAAACCCGGATCCTCTGCAAGAACAGTCAGTGCTTTAACTGCTGAGCCATCTCTCCAGCCCTTTTTACACATTTGTATCAGTAGTACATGAGGATTCTGGTCTTCCACATCCTTACCAAAATTTTGCATTTTTAAGATTTTAACATTCCTAATAGGTGTGAAGAGATATCTCGTTGTAGTTTGACTTGCTTTTTTTTTTTTTCGGTCTTTTTGAGACAGGATCTCCCTGTAGCCCCAGCTGTCCTGGAACTCGCTATGTAGACCAGGCTGGCCTTGAACTCACAGAGATCTGCCAGCCTCTGCCTCCTGAGTGCTGGGATTAAAGGCGTGCACCACCACGCCCGGCTGACTTGTAATTTTTAATGATTAATAATGTTGGCATCTTAATGTGCTTATTGGCCATTTGTATGTATTTGGGAAAAATGCCAATTTTTTTTTTTTTTGCTTAAAAAGATTTTATTATATTTTTTTTGTGTGTGTGTGTGTGTGTGATTGCACATATGTGGAGATCAATGGACAGTTTGTGGGAGTCAGTTTTCTCCTTATACCATATGGGTCCCAGGGATTGAACTTGGGATGTTCAGCTTGATAGCAAGTGCCTTAACCTGCTGAGCCATCTCGCTGGCCCAGGTTTTGCTTTTTACTTACAAAATCTTTTTACATTCTAAATACTAGCTACTGGATCCTTAACAGATGGATAGGCCTGCAGGCATTTCGCCTGTCCTGTGAACTGGCATGAATTTCTTTTCTTTGTTTTTCTTTTATTTTTCTCCTCTTTTGGCAGGAGGATGGTGTATGCTAGGAATTAAATCCAGATTCTCATGCATGTTAGGCAAGCACTCAAACACTGAGTGAGCTACATCTTCAGCCCTCAATTTGTAGATGGTGTTGTTGGATAAAGAAAAGTTTCACATTCAAAAAAATTTATTTATTTATTTATTTATTTTATTTTATTTTATTTTATTTTTTGGTCTTTTTGAGACAGGGTCTCCCTGTAGCCCCAGCTGTCCTGGAACTTACTATGTAGACCAGGCTGGTCTTGAACTCACAGAGATCTGCCTGTCTCTGCCTCCTGAGTGCTGGGATTAAAGGTGTGTGCCACCACACCCGGCCTGGAATTGTATTGGATTTGTAACTCAATTTTGGAAATACTACTATTTTAGCAATATTAAGTGTTCAATTCATGAAAAAGGAGTATGTTTACATCTTTTAAGAATTTCTGCTGTGGTTTAGTCTGTTTTGTGTTGCTAAAGTAGAATACCACAGACAGATTTGTCAATAGAAATTTATTTCTCCTGCTTCTTGAGAGTGTGTTTCTAGTAGGAAAGTACTGGAATTTGGTGAGGCTTTGCTACATCATTCCCTGGCAAAGGGCAATGCAAGAGGCTGAGAGTGGGCCAAACCAACAAAGCCAAACCTTCTTGCAACAAACCTGCTCTTGTAGTAACTAACCCATTCCTTTCATAGTGGCATTCATTCATGAGGGTAGAGTCCTCATGACCTAGTCAGCTCTTACTAAGTCCCATCCTAATACTTGATTAGGGATAAGTGTCCAACACACAAGTTTTTCGGCCACACATTTAAACTGTAACAATGAATTTTCACTGTAAAAGTTTTAAGAATCTATTTAAGGGGTTGGAGGGATGGCTCAGTAGTTAACACTGATTGTTCTTGCGGAAGACCCAGGTTCAAATCCCAGCACCCACATGGCAGCTAACAACTGTCCATAACTCCAGTCCCAGGGGATCCGACAGCCTCTTCTGTCCTTCGCAGGCACTGCATGACACGGGTGCACTTAACCTACATGCAGGCAATACATGCATACACATAAAATAAAAATAATTAAAAAAAATCTATTTAAATTTAATCTATTTCATTATTTTTGACACTATAATAATGGAGTTATTAATTTCAATCTATGAACTGTTTATGGCTAATATATAAAGTACTGTTGATGTTGGTAGAAAATAACGTAGTAAATTCTGTTTTTTTAAAAATATTTTTTATTTTTGGCAGGGCGTGGTGGTGTACACCTTTAGTCTCAGCACTCAGGAGGCAGAGCCAGGCGGATCTCTGTGAGTTTGAGGCCAGCCTGGTCTCCATAGTGAGTTCCAGGCCAGCTGGGGCTGCAGGCAGATCCTGTCTTAAAAAGACAAAAAAAAAATTATTTTTTATGTATGAGTGTATTGCCTGCATGTTAGTACATCCGTGTTGTGCAGTGTCTGTGGAGGTCAGAAGAGGACATCATATTGTTTTGGAACCGAGTTACAGGCAGTTGTTAGCTGCCATGTAGGTGCTGGGAACTGAACCCAGGTCCTCTATAAGAGCAGCAGTGCTCTTAACTGCTATACTATCTCTCCAGCTCCATGTTTGGTGTTTTGTTTGATTTTGAGACAGGGTCTCCCTGTAGCCATGGCTGACCTGGAACCAAGCTGGCCTCAATCTCACAGAGCTCTGCCTACCTCTGCCCCTGCTTCCCAAGTGCTGGGATTAAAGGCATGTGCCACACACCTGGCTCAAATCCCGTTTTTTGATATCTGTACGTTGCCCCATGTATTTATTACTTGTCTCATTGTTGTGACAAAGTACCTGACAAAAGCACCTTCAGGAAGGAAAGGTTTGCTTTGGCCCTAGTTTGAGGGTACACTCCATTATGGTGGGGGGTCATGGTGATAGGATGTGAAGCAGAGAAATGAATGCTGTTGATGAACACCGTCTCTCTCCTTTATTCAGACCAGCCCCCCTGCCCCCTCAACCCATGAAATGATGCCATCCATAGTTATGGTGGGTTAACCAAATCTAGATAACCCATCACAGGCATTCCCAGAAGTTTGTCTCCTAGGTGATTCTAGATCTTGTTAGGTTGACAATCAGTATAAACCATCATATCCTGTAGCTTTGGATCAAGTTATCAAGCAAGAATTTATAAACTATGGGAACTTGACCTATAGTAATTGTATTAGTTACTTTTATGTTGCTATGACCAAAATATCTGATCGAAACAGCTTTAAGAGGGAAGGTTCGTTTTGGCTCAATATCACAGGTCCAGCCTATGCCTGGCCCCATGCACTGGAGGTGAAAACTTCATGGTGGGAGTATGTGCCTGAGGCAACTGATCACCTCATGGGCACAGGAAGCAGCACAAGAAGCAACCAGAGATAGTATACCCTCAAGGACTTGCCCCCAGGTACCCCCCTTCCTGCAGCCAAGCTCTACTGGCTTCACTCACAAGTGTTTCTGAACCTCCCAAGACTAGGGCCACCAGCTGGGGTCCAGTTGTTCAAAATTTGAGCCTGTGGGGGACATTTCAGATTTAAACCATAATAGTAATAAAATAACACGTGATAAACTGAAAGGTGTTATGTATCTTATCCCAAAACATTCAGAGACTAATTTTTAAAAATACACTTTTCCTGTTGCTGAAACATGACTCAGTTGTTAAAGAGCCTGCCCTGCAAGCATGAGGTCCTAAGTTTGAATTCCCAGTACACATGAAAGAAGCCAGGCATGGTCGCATGCCAGGGATGAGTTAAGTGGTGCAGTGCTTACCTCGGATGCTCAAGGACTTGGATTCAAGCCCTAGTCCTAGTACTGTAAAAACTGAACATAACAAATGTCGTGTTGGCTAGTATGTGGATGAATTGGAACCCAGCATGATGGTTGGTGCCTCCCTCCCCTCCCCATTTCCCCCTCCTTCCCTCCTTCTTCCCTTTCTTCCCTTCCCCTTTTTTTCTCCCTCCCCCCTTCCCTCTCTACATAGCCAACTGGCTGGGAACTCATTATGTAGACCAAACTGGCCTCAAATTCACAGAAATTCTCCTGTTCCTGCCTTTCAAGTGCTGGGAATGAAGGCTTGCACCAACATGCCCTGTGAGCTTTTCTTTCCTTTTAAAAAAAATTATATTTATTTATTTGTTTGGGGTGGTGCCTGCCACAGTGCCCATGTGGAGGTCAGAAGACAACTTGGGGGATTCAGTTTTCTCCTTCTGCCATTGAGGCCTGGGACTGAACTCAGGTTGTCAGGCTTGGCAGCAGGCTCTCTTACCTGCTGAGCCATTTCTCCAGCCTATTTTCATTATCTTGATTATGTGTTGAGTTCATGGATATGTATATGTATCAAAATGTATACTTTTTTTTTTTTTTTTTTTTTTTTTTTT